CAGCGATGATCAGCAGAGAGGGAAGTGCCAAGAATTGCACAGAAAATGCAAAGAAGACTTAACCTAAGTCTCTCTAACGTGCTCTGGGAGCGAGTGTGTTAAAGAAGAAGACGACAAGGCAGGAGGAATGGGGGAAAAACCTTCAAACCATTAGCAGTAGTAAAAGCTAAAAATCTAAAAAAAAAAAAAAAATGGTGAGAAAAGGCTGCGGCTTTTCCCTGGTAGAAAAGAAAGAACCTGCTGATGGAGGCAATTTCTCACTTTGTTAGAAGTAGAACAGAAAGGACTGAAAAGGGGACATCTGCAATTCAGCCTTTAAGTCAGAGGGTATAGAATAGAATAGAGCTGGGACCTTGGAGGTCTTCTAGTCCAGCCCCCTGCTCAGGCAGGAGAACCTATACCATTTCAGACAAGTGACTGTCTAGTCCAGTGGTTCTCAACCTTTTTAATGCCAAAACCCCCAGGACTCCTCAACTGGTGCAGCACCGTTTGCAGAATGGGAAATTGTTGGTGGTTGTCTTCTTCTAGGACGTTTCTTCAAACTTCTCAGCCCAGCCTACAGCTCTGAGATTGTTCTGGCCGTCCCCATCCAAGAACTAAGCAACCTGTTCTTGGTTAGCTACTAAGGCCGGACAAGATTAAGTAGGCACTCTCACCTGCCAGTTTCCATGTAGCATAGCAGAAAAGATGGGAAGTGTTGTAAGTTTATAGCAGTTTACTTCAGTGGTTCTCAACCTTTTTAATGCCGCGACCCCCAGCCGGTCGTAAGTCGAGGACTACTCAACCGGTCGTAAGTCGAGGACTACTCAACTGGTGCACCACCGTTTGCAGAAGGGGACTTTTGGCGGGCTCAGCAGGGCAGAGACAGCCTGGACAATTCCTATGGGCTTTTGAAAGCCAATAGAATTAGACTCTATTCAAGAGAGTCTATTCTATTGGCTTTCAAAAGCCAATAGAATAAAAAGGAGTAGCACAGCTAAGGAAAAGGGGGGAAAAAATGGCGGACTGCATTGTTTGGCGACCCCCGTGAAATGGTCGTTCGACCCTAAATGGGGTCCCGACCCACAGGTTGAGAACCACTGGTCTAGTCTCTTCTTAAAAACCTCCAGTGATGGAGCAACCACGATTTCTGGTGGCAAGCTGTTCCACTGGTTAATTGTCCTCACTATCAGGAAGTTTCTCCTTAATTCCAGGGTGCTTCTCTCTTTGTTCAGTTTATTCAGTTTCCAAAGGTTGTTTCTTGTCCTGCCCTCTGGTGCTTTGGAGAATAGCTTGACCCCCTGTTCTTTGTGGCAGCCTCTCAAATACTGGACTACTGTGTATGTACCCCATCACTTGCAAACAGGAAGTTTAAGGACCTGTCCTGCCTTCATGGTCCACGGACCAGATCTAGAAGACGCCATGCTCTCTAACACATGTCTCCTTCTTGGTGATTAAAAGAAAATTCTAGCAGATTGATGAACAGAACCTTGCTTAGCAACAGAAATTCAGGTGCCAATGGTGGTCGTAAATCGAGGTAAGTGACTACGTAAGTCGTAGTTTGGGGGTAATGCAGTGAACACCATCCAGAACAGAGGCCCCCAACCTTTTCGGCACCAGGGACCGGTTACTTGGAGAGAGAGGTTTTTCTGCGGACCGGAGGGGGCGTGTTTTTGTGTGCTGCCTGCATCCTGCGGATGGGGCTTTGTTTCTGCCAGTGGTTCTCAACCTGTGGGTCGGGACCCCATTTGGGGTCGAACGACCATTTCACGGGGGTCGCCAAACAACGCAGTCCGCCATTTTTCCCCCCCCCTTTTCCTTAGCTGTGCTACTCCCTTTTATTCTATTGGCTTTTGAAAGCCAATAGAATAGACTCTCTTGAATGGAGTCGAATTCCATTGGCTTTCAGAAGCCAATAGGAATTGTCCAGGCTGTCTCTGAGCCCTGCTGAGCCCGCCAAAGGTCCCATTCTGCAAACGGTGCTGCACCAGTTGAGTAGTCCTCGACTTACGACCGGTTGAGTAGTCCTCGACTTATGACCGGTTGGGGGTCGCGGCATTAAAAAGGTTGAGAACCACTGGTTTATGCAGACCGATTGCTGGCAGGCCGTGGCCCAGTATTGGTCCACGGACTGGAAGTTGGGGACCCCTGATCTCTTAACACATGCCTCCTTATGGGTGATCCAAAGAAAACTCCAGCAGATTGATGGACAGATCTGCTCCTTGACTGCTCACAGGAGAAATTCAACAGCTCCAGGCACAACATCAGACACCCCCCCCCTCCCATCTTCACGCTCTTCACAAGCGGCTCCTAAATTTGCTTAAAGCACCTGCTGCTGCTGCTGCTGCTGCAGATCTCCAGCCACTGAGCCCGCACAAGAAACCAAATCACAATAAAATTGAAATAAAAGTACGCCCATTTGTCTTTCTAGCTCAGTTCCAAAAAGACATTCGGTGCAATCCAAGGCGGAGGAGTTACCCGGATTGGCTGGATTCAGTCCTCTCCGAAGGCGAATCAAACAGGCTTCTGAAGCATCCCCCTTTGCTCTGCCCAGCCTTGACTATAGCCCACCCCAAAACAAACCATGGTTCCTTAAGCTCCGCTCATGTTCAGAATAATACTAACTACCCGCCCTGCTCTCTTTCCCCACTCCCTTTCGCTCGTTCCCAAGAAAGACAGCCACCCAAAGAGTCAGCCCAGGCAATGTCACCCACTTAAAAGGCACTTCAGAAGACCCCTGAAGACCCTTAAACAGGCAGGATCACGCGCCCTCCCTCCCTCCTAAATCTTTTAAAGTGCGGAGATCCATCTGAAAGGAGCAGAGAAGGAACGGGGAAGACTCCACCACCCTAACCCAGGAGAAGCTGGTGAGGACCTTGTGGAGAGCTTTGCCAAGACTCTGAAGTCAAGGACAGGGCGGATATGATAGCAGTGTTCCAATATTTCAGCGGCTGCCCCAAAGAAGAGGGAGTCAAGCTATTCTCCAAGGCGCCTGAAGGCCGGACAAGAAGCAATGGATGGGAACTCATCAAGGAGAGAAGCAACCTAGAACTAAGGAGAAACTTCCTGACAGAACAATTAACCTTGGAACAACCTGCCTCCAGAAGCGGTGAATGCTCCAACACTGGAAGTTTTTAAGAAGAGACTGGACAGCCATTTGTCCGAAATGATATAGGGTTTCCTGCCTGAGCAGGGGGTTGGACTAGATGACCTCCAAGGTCCCTTCCAATTTTACTATTATTATTATTAAGCCCATCTCCAGCGGAAGGAAAGGCAGTCTGCAGACGCACAGAGTCCTCAAATGTGACAGCAGACCTGGGAACCGAAGCCCAGGCTAGATTTTTTCTTTCTTTCTTTTTACCCCGGCCCTGTAAGCAACCCTGTAATCCCTGGGGTGACTAAATGAGCGTTTACTGACCGGATGCCATTTCGCAGCAGATATTTACTCTTTGTGCCCTGATAGAGAAACATCTGACACTGCTTAGGATCGAACGCTCAACCGAGTGGGAAGCTAGCATTTTCCCTTAGAAGCCAAGAGTTACAGCCCCCTAAATTATACTCCTCACCTTTGTCTCTGTCCATCTCTATACCATCTCCATTTTTTTCTTCTCTTTTATCTCCGTTCTGCCTGCAGCCTTCATTTCCTCCTTCGCCATCAGCCTCTTATCTTCCACCCTCCTGCCCCCCCCCCCCGTTCACCCCTCGAGGATCCTGGGGCTACTCCTTTCTCCTCCTGCCCAGCCTCACACACACACACACACACACACACACACACAGCCCCTCCCCACCTCTTTGCTCCTTTGAGTTTACTTTGTCCGCCTCTGGCCGGATCCAGCTTTTGTACTCCTAGACCTTTTTGCCCAATTGCTCTCCAGGAGTTTGGAACAAACAAGTTAAAAATAAGTGGGCTTTTTGTTTTTTTTAAGCAAAAAGGAAAGGGAGGGAAAGCGAGTGGTCTAAGCCACAGAACTCCCGAGAAAGTGGTCTCCATTGCACACAAAGAATAAATCACTTCTCAGGTGGTTAAAAAGAGCAGGCGAGGAAATGCGATACTAAAGCACTTCTGGAGGAACCCACCGGTAACCTAACCCTGGTTTCCTCAAAGCAATAATATCCCGGGTTTTACACACATCGACCCTCGCCGCACTTGGCTCGGATTGGCAAACAGGTGACCCTGAAGATGCTGCTTCGCGGTTCGGGGTATCCGATCCAGCGGAGCCCCCCAGGCGGGTCCTCTGGTGGCGGGACGGGGACCCCCGGGGGGGCTGCGGAGCCACGGCCCCGCAGGGGCGCAGCCAAGCGGGCCACCCAAAGCAGAAGGAAGGCAAGGAAGGGCCCCCGTGGTGGGAAACTGCCGCGGGGTGCCTCCTCCACGGGGCAGACGGACCGGGCTTCGCGCAAGAGCCTGGCTAAGTGGGCGACTGGCTGGGGCGCGCGTGTCTGGGGTGGGTGGGGGGTGCCCGGGCTGTGGGAGGGGTAGGGCTGGAAGGTAGGGAGAGGGGCTTCCTGTCCCCCCTCCTCACCTCGAGGACTACAGACTCCATCGTCCCCGGCGAGGGGGGGAGGCGAGGGGACCCTTCCCCTGGGACTGGCTGGCTAAGTGGGCGACTGGCTGGCGCGCGTGTGTCTGGGGTGGGTAGGGGGTTCCCGGGCTGTGTGGAGGGGGGGGCGCAGGGGCACATGCGTATAAGGCGCTCCCTCCTCCCTCCCTCCCTCCCTCCCTCTTTCTCGCCCCTCGCCCGCCCGCCCAGTCGGGGCTGGGCCGGCTGCGGGGTCGGGCGCTGCGCTGCGGACCGGGCGCGCAAGGCGGAGGAGGAGGAGGAGAGGAGGAGGAAGAGGAGAGGGGAAAGAGGAGAAGGAGGAAGAGGAGGAGGGGAAGAAGAGGAGGAGGAAGAGGAGAGGGGAAAGGGGAGGAGGAGGAGAAGGGGAAGAAGAGGAGAGGGGAAAGAGGAAGAGGAGGAGGAGGAAGAGGAGGAGGAGGGGAAGAAGAGGAGAGGGGAAAGAGGAGGAGGAGGAAGAGG